TGAAATATATATATATATATATATATATAAATAAAATATAAAAAGATAAAAATACATATAGTACAATTAATTGCTCGGTTTTAAGCCGGGAGCTCGGTATAAATTCGATCAAGGATACGGGGGTTCGTCGAGACTAAGGGTCTCGACATGGTTTTTTCTAAACTCTCCATCGTAGTATGGCTTTACCCTTTGCCCATTGACTACGAATAATTCTCCATTCGCCGGATTTCGGAGTCGGACGGCTCCTAGGGATAGTACTTCATCGACGACGTAGGGTCCGCTCCAACGGGACTTCAGCTTTCCCGGAAAAAGTCTAAGGCGGGAGTTGAATAAGAGTACCTTCATGCCGGGCACAAGAGTTTTCCGGACAATGGTTGAATCGTGAAGCCTCTTGGTCTTTTCCTTGTAAATTTTGGAGTTCTCGTACGCTTCATCCCTCAACTCTTCAAGCTCCGAGAGTTGCAAAATCCTTTCTTTCCCGGCGGCATCAAGATCAAAGTTCATCTTCTTAATGGCCCAAAATGCCTTGTGCTCTATCTCGACTGGAAGGTGACACGCCTTTCCATAGACAAGCCGGAACGGGCTCATCCCCAAAACTCCCTTATACGCTGTGCGTTGGGCCCAAAGTGCATCATCGAGCCGATTTGACCAATCTTTCCGAGTCGACTTCACCGTCTTCTCGAGAATTGTCTTTATCTGCTTGTTGCTCGTCTCTGCTTGGCCCGAGGTCTGTGGATGGTATGAGGTAGCCACTCTATGTGAAATGCCATACTTTTTCATTAACTTTTCGAAGAGTCGGTTGCAAAAATGCTTGCCCCCATCACTTATAATGGCTCGTGGGAAACCGAACCTGCTCAAGATATTACTCTGCAAGAACTTGATAACTACATTAGCATCACATGTCCGTGTGGGGATAGCCTCGACCCACTTGGACACGTAATCTACGGCAAGAAAGATATACTCAAAACCAAAATATTTGGGAAACGGTCCAATGAAATTGATGCCCCAAACATAAAAAATTTCACCTTGTAAATTGCTCACAAGGGGCATCTCATTCCTTGGGCCAATATTCCCAATTCTTTGGCAGCGGTCACAAGATTTACAAAAGTTATAAGCATCTTTAAAAAGAGTTGGCCAAAATAAACCTGATTGGAGGACTTTGAAAGCGGTCTTTCGACCCCCAAAGTGTCCTCCACATTGAAACTCGTGACAAAAGGCCAAGACATCATGTTGCTCTTCTTCGGGCACACACCTCCGAAGAATCTCGTCCTTTCCCATCTTGAAAAGGATTGGGTCATCCCAAAAGTAGCTCCTGCACGTCAACACAAAATGTTTCCTCTCTTGGGAAGAGAGGTTAGACAACAAGACTCCATCTGACAAATAGTTTACGATGTTTGCATACCAAGGCACAGTAACCACTTCATTCACATGCTCATATGGAAAATCATCATTAATGCCTACATGCTTATTCAATGCAAGTGAAGGGTCCGAGGGAACAAT